TGTTTCTTTTAGTACATCTTTAATAATTTAGGTTTAATTTTTAAAATCAAACAGTTGTGAAAAAGTCACCACAAGTGACTAGCGCGGGAAAGTTCTATTGTCGGAACTCTGTTCAGTACTTAACCGCATGCATATGCGCACCAAAACTTGATGATAGCAATAATAGTTTTACCTATAGTAACAGTAGAAAAGAACTACCGACTGCGGTTTAATTGATGTTTCGTGACGGCAATTTTTCGGTTAAAAGTTATGTCGACATTTTGTCCCAAGTCATTACAAAGTTTTAACTCTAAACGACAATCCACTATTATTACCTATTACTTCTATGTCTCGCTTCTCCTAGTCAACCAATTTTCTCTTTGCAAACTTATTGGCTGTTTGATTCGTGACATTATAAACAGTTTAGTCATATTTGTTATTATCAAAAATATTAATGAACTCGTATTTATTTTTGTTCCATTAACAATAGATAGAACGTAGAATTAAACTTTCAGTAGAAATTAAACCTTATTATGTTTTACTTATAGGGTCTATATCACATTCTTAATCTTAACGGTAAAATAATATAATAATTTTTTTTTTTTATATCGTTTAATTTTTTCTAATTTCTAAGGTTTTTATTTTATTGGTATTAGTAAAAAAATGTAGTCTTGAAATAAATATTTAAAAAATGTTCCTATGTTATTCATGTGCTTTCGATACTGTTTAGAATTACTTATCTTCTGGTTCTTCGTTTTTTTTACTCAAATCCATAGTTTTAATTTCTACTGTTGGAGGCTGTTTGACTAAATACATGTCTTCTAATAATTTGTCTAATAGAGATTGCATTATATCATTTCGTCTTTTAATTTCATCTTCCAACCGATATAATGATTCTTTTATTAAAAGGTCATAATTATTAATACTATCCTAAAAATAAATAAAATATAAATACATTTACTACATATTTTCTATAATGTATCTCAAATAAAAAATATGTATTTAATTTTTTTATAAAAGGATAATTGGATCAAAAATTACAAGCCTTGTCTATTAAATTTGTGACCACCTGATTACGAATATTTAAGTCTACAGAAATTTATATTTTTCACCTCTATTTTAATTGCACCACTATCAAAGGGGTGTAATTCTGGTTTAATGATGTAATTTATTTCCTCTTCGCTTATCATCTTTGCAATATTAACTTTTTTTTTTTTTTCCTCTTCAATTTCTTTTACGAATTTTTGTTCCCCACTATTTGTATTTTGATTAAGATTCTTAGAATTCGATTTTATAGAATTGGTGGACGATTTAGGTTCATATATTTTAACATATTTATTTGGTTGATTTTCAACGTGTCCTTCGATATTTTTAATAAAAGTTGGGTCTTTTGAAGGAAGTTTAGGTGTTTTTACATTGTTATCAGAACTTGTACCATAAGATGTATCTATAAGATCAATAGAATAATTTAGATACTCAGACTTTGACTGATTTTTTGGGAATTCAACTTTTTTTAAAACATTTTTTTTCATTTTTGTTGTTGTAAAATCTGTTGTTGAAGTAACAAGCTTCAGATTTTTATTGTAATAATTTATTTTTTCAAAAAGTTTTGGTGTCATATTTTTTACTTTAGTTGTTGAGCTTGATTTAATGACGTTTTTTTGAACATTTTTTAGTGTGGTAGGATTCATATACTTAGATTGTGTCTTTAATGGAACGGGTTTGGTCATTTTGATGTTATCAGTTTTAATAGTTGTTGTTGAATTGATATTTTGTGATGAAGTTTTAATAGTACTTGTTGAAGGAGCAATTGGTGTTTGAAAATCATCTAAGGGAGTTGTATTCTTAATTTTTGATTTTTCACTTGTTGATTTTGAATTTTCAAGCAACGGTTTATATAACACGGTCATATTTGTAAAATTTTGAAATTTATGTGTGGCTCTGGGTTTAAATATTGAAGGATTAATTTTAACTTTTGTAAGTTTTTTGGGATTGATCAAACTAGGCTTTCTTGGTTGAAAAATAGTCATTACTATTGATTTTTTTGAAGAAAAATAACATTTTTGTATTTTTTCAATTAGTGATCGTTGGTGACTGACCAACGATTGGTACTGACTGAGTAACAATCCGATATTTTGGATACTATTAAAAAGTAGAATATTAGTGTTTAGTAGCAGTAGTATTCTTAGTATTAGTATTGTAAAAGTTCCGGAAATTTTAACTCAAGTGCTTTTAACTTATTTCTTTATTAGTTAATAAACTCTAAATTTAATTTAAAATAACTGCGAATAACTTTCAAATATATATCATTAGACATTTATTAACTTAATAACAGCCATAACCCGTATCTCATAAACAGTATACTTTAAAATGGATATAACTTGCTGGTTTAAAAGTTTACAAGTTAGTCAAATATGTATGTTGTTATTAAAAAAAACAGTTGACTCTTATAAACTATAAGTAAAGTTATAAAAAGAAAAAAAATTTCCGATATTCCTCTCAAGTCGTAATTAATTAAATAAGTTGGAATAAACGAATAACCTTGCAATATAAAAATACATTAAAACATTATTTAGTTATTTTTTATTTCATAAAAAATTAACACAAAATATAATAAAATATGATTTCCTTATTTAGAATATATTTTCTATTAACTCTAATAAGTATAGTACTATCATGGTGAATTAAATATAGGGAATTATAATTCTCTCTAAATATAAAGGAGTTCATAGGTATGAATGTGTTGATTGCACGTAAACATTTCAAGCAAAGTTAATAGGTAGCTCTAATTTTGTCAGTGATTACTATTTCAAGTAACTTTTTTGCATATAATTCCATAATGTATCATTAGTAAAATATTTTTTGCATGTTTTATTAATTTTATCAAAATATTTTAATGCATATTTTCAATGAATTTTTAACATTAAATACTTATAATTAAGCTTTTTAGATGTACATAAGTTCGTAACAGTCATAACCTATCGAAAATACGACGTATTATTTATAATAAACTGTTGTTTTTATAAAAACAATTTTAAATATGTATTTATTATTCATTTTTGATAGAAATTTCTAATTTAAAATTTTCTAAATTGAAAATTTCTAAACCATTATTATAACAATTATTTTAAAACAAATATTTTTTATAACAATCATAATTAATAAAAAAAGTGTATTTTACACTTACCTCTGATGGACTTTTAACATCAGCCAAAATTTGATCTTAAACAAAGAAATGTAATTTTCCTAACATTTATTATTATATATCATTTTAATAAAAAGTAACGAGATAATTAGTTTCCAGCCAGTATATTTAACATGTAAATTGATGCATAATATGAATCTATATAGTAAATTAAAAATAGATAAAAAAAAAAATACCGATTTTTAATTAATTTTTACATATCATAATAAAATTTGTTGTAATTAATGACTGTAAATTTTTGTTATTTTATAATAAAATAACAACATATCTTTCATGTACAAGTATAACTCAGTAGCAAAACTAGAGCAAAAATCTTGAGGTATTAATAATATATACCTCAATTAAATCTCTACGGAGGTCATTCTCCTTATTCTCAATAATATTACTACAAGCCAAACAAAAATTCAACTATTTACTCACTACAAATGGTTTGCAATCATAAAATCATTCAAACAATTTGACGCCTTATATATAAATAATTGTTCGCTTTATTATCAATGCAGTGTTGTGTTCAAATTTTTTTCTGGTAAAAGACTTAATTCATTCGGAGAATTCAGTGCCGCAAAACAGGAAATGTAATTATATTTAATTTGTGTTTATAATTTTTAGTGTTCTCTTCTAATTATTATTATATAGTGTATGTATAATATAATACATATATTATTTTATTTATACGAATAAATCGGTATTTTTTTATTTTTGTAGAGATTAATAAAAAAAATTGTTCTAGAATCTTTTTATTTTAATCTTTGTTTATGCATTTATAAGTGTTAATAATTTAGTATCTTACAAGAATAAAAATTTAAAATTTTGATATCAATTAAATTAAGACACTAAAAAAATAATTATTAATGTGTTATACATGTGTCCAATATACAAATATTTATTAAGCTATAGTTTCAACATATTCACATAAATAAGATTTTAATTTTTAAAACATTAAGGATCTGATTTATTTTACGTGTTTCGAAATATTCCGTCAACTAATACGGTGATTTAAAATGTCAGCATGTTGAATTCTAATTAATATTATTAAATTAATGGATATTATTTATGACTTGATGTAAAGTCAAATTGTAAAAGATCACGCGATTACAGTGTATTCGATGACATTTCAGCAAAACTGATGTTTATTCTCTGTTGCCGTGTTTGATCGTGCTCGTTTCATTAATTTTAAAAATATGTAATTAAAAACCGTGCAAGTTAATATAATAAACAGAAATTACTAAGTAAGTTTCATTTACTTGCTCAAAATATTCACAATGAAATTTTTGAACACAAAAATCTTACCCTAGTATATATCACTAAGAAAATTTTAAACTATTTAATTTTTTAACTGCTATAAGAGTAAATTTATAATATCATCTATTTCTGTAAATATTAGAATTGTATTTGTATTAGTTAACTAATTCAATCAGTTTTAGGGACTAATTAGCCGTTAATACTTAATAAATAATTTTTTGTACAGTATAGAAAATATTTCAATGAAAATTGTAATAAAGCCAAATATTTATTTTATGTTTTATAAATGTTTAGAAAAAAAATTCATAAAATATATATAGATTATTTGTTGTAAAAAAGAACATTATATTATTTTTTTATTTTAATACAAAAATTAAAAAAAAAAAAATAGAATGAATAACATACATTTTAAACAGTATGAAAAAAAAAATGGTAATATACAGAAAATATAATTTCTTAATGAAATTGAAGTATATTTTGTAAATAGTCAGGAAAATAACCATGGCTTAATAAACTTTAACTTTCAAATGAGTCTTAAAATATTTTGCGTTTAAAAAAAAACTTGACACAAAACTCACATGTATTTTGTTTTTTTGTACTTTTTATAACTTTTTTTATTAGTTCTGTGCCATAATTTATGAATGTCTAGTTTGGACTCTTCTGTGAATATTTTATCACACTCAACACATTCGAAAACTGTATTTTTCATATGCGAAAACTCATGACTATTTAAAATGTTTATACTATCAAATATTTTATCACAATATCGACATGCAAGTTTGCCAATATTTTCATATTCTGAGATTCTCGGATTAACTGTTAAAGATCTTGTACGTGGAAGGTATCTAATATCTGATGTAATTGAATTCTGCCTCTCAGTACTCCTGAGTTTTCGAAGATAATAAACGTGACTGGTCCGAAAATTCACTCCTGATAATTCTTGTTCAGGTTCACTGATCATTTCATCCACGTTTTTTTCATTATTAAATGAATCAGAATGTCGTATGCGTTTCCATTTAGGTTCTAATGAACTGTATGAATTAGTACGAGTTCTCTTAGAAGTGTGTGTACTTTTTTTCGATTTTGAAAGACTTCTGAAACATAAGATTAGTAACAGTATAATAAAACAAATTTTTTGATTTAAAAAATTTTAAGTTTTCATTTTGATTGTAAAACTATTAAAGTAATATTTAGATATTTTATTAGAATGACATCAATTCACGATAAAAGTTAACGATATCACTATTGAGTCATCAATCAGTTATTAGCAAACGTATTTGGTATGTAATTTATTTAAATTTTAAATACTTTTTTTAAGGAAGCAATAAATTTTTCAGATTCTTAGAAAAAATATATTAACCTTAAAAATATGCCAGAATTAGTGGCATTAACCTATATTATAATTAATGATATAATATAATAAAAAATATGTTATATAATTATATAGTATGACTATTAACTAATTATTATTAATAATAGGGTCAAGTGGGGTAAATGGAAATTGGGACAAAAGGAAAAAAAATATTATTTAAAATAAATTATTAGAGATTATAGAATTCGGTATCATTGTAACCACAGTACACATAAGGTATAATAGTGTGCAATGAAAAAAATATGGAAAGTTTGAGAATATGTACAAATGGTTATCACTCGAAAAAGTGTTTATGATTATTTTAGATTATATTTTCTGCTCAACAGCTTTTGAGAAGGGCAACTTCATCAAAAATATAAGTAGAACAGTACAGTTTGAACTAAATTGTCATTTCATATTTACTTATTTACTATACGGCCCTAAAACTAGTTTAATATCACTTTTTCTATGGAATTATTTATTTTTTGTAAAATACAAAATAAAAATCAATCGGGGTAAATGGAAATATTAATAACAAATATAATTTGAAATATTACGGTCTTTATAATTTTTTTTTTCAACTTCAGAGTGCATAATTATATCAAAAAAAACCCAGCACAGGGGGGTCGCAGCACAGTGATGCCGTGGTATAGTTGGATCAAGTATAATGATATCTGACAGTGATTAAAATCACTATAAAAAATAAACGCTTCGATGCAAATCTTTAGATAGTGTTTAATTTAAAAAAAAATTGGTGTTTTATTCCAAAAGCTTCTTGATCTGCTGGTTCCTTATTAATATCTCGATTAAGATAAAGTATGTCGAATGAAAAGGGTTTATTAAAAAATATTATTTCTCATAAAAAAATTGTGTGGATCCATAAACTTTTCAATAAGTTATAGCATTATAAAGTTAAATATAATATAAATAATAAAATCGAACATTTTCACACAAAAATAGCATTCGGTAGCTGTTTTCACCATGAAGACAAGTCCAGAGGTCAAATTTTTTTTTTTTCAAATTAAAGTACATTACATTAGCTTTAATTTAAGATATATATAAAAGTGTCAGACCTTCCGGAACATTTTCAAAAGTTAAGTTGAAAAAGTTAATTTTTTGTGAAAAAGTTGTCATTTTAAATCCCCCCCTGTGGGCAGAAAAAAGGTCAAATTTACAAAAAAAATATAGCAAATGATAGATAAAGATATCAAGCATCTATAAAAAAAAAATTTATATTCATATGTTCATTTTTGAAAAAGTTACGGCAGTTTTTAGTAAAAAAAATTGAAAAAATTTCGAAAATTAGCGATTTTTAAATTTGTAATTTTTT